AAAAGAGTGTTAGCAGGTACTAAAAGATGGTTGAACAGAGGGTGTGACTGACAGGATGTGAGGCCCATGAGACTGCTAGAATGGCTCCCCCCGGCCAGGCCTTCCCTGGGGACCCATCTGTTGTGTGGCTGGGTGCTGCTAGGAATCCTCCCGACCAACAGAGGTATCTCTGGGGAGGCTATGGTATGGGAAGAGGGATAGGTTGTAGCAATCTCCCCCTTGTTAGGCATCTAGGGCCACAAGGGTAAAGCTTTCCTCTTTTCCTACAAATAATTTGTACTTAGAAACTCATGCTTGCAGGTGATAAGCAACCGGACTGATGCCCTTCAGAATAGAAGGGGCTGAGTTGGTTTGCCAAAAAAAAAAAAAAAAAAAAGAGGCAGGTTCAGTGAAGACTCCAAGATAATATTCAGAGATGACGCGAGTAAGTTCGATGGAACTTCAACACCATGCAAAAAACTGCTGAGCTGCCAGAGAAGCTAAAGCCTACCGTCGTCACCCGAATAGAACGCCCGGTAATTATTGCTATATTTAACGCAAATTTCAGCCTAGACATACAGCGATAATAACCAGGCGTTCTATTCGTGGTGAAGATGGTAGCTCTAGTTACACAAACCCTAAACCAAATAAAGGGGGTAACGTAGTTGTCATACGAGAAGTGGCGTCAAGCAGGGCTCCATGGAAGAAAAGGACTTCAAAAGGTAGACAGGGCACCCCGAAGGTGAAGTGAGGAGGGGGAAGTCAACAGCAAGAAAAAAATGAAGGGATAGGGTTTAGGGCTAAGGCTGCGTTAGTTTTAGATAATTAAAAAAAAAAAAAGAAGCTAAATGACAATGTGGTGAGCAGTGAGAAGTTGCGATACTCACCGCAGAGATGCGTTCAGGTCACTAATGAGCTTGCCAGAAGATATATTCCACAGCAGCAACCTCGTGTCTCCAGTTTCGCCGCTACTGACAACTAGGTCTGAAAAGGAAGAAGCAAATTGAAAGTTGATTGCAATCAAGCATAAGACATAAACCGGAAAAAAAAAAAAAAAAAAAAAAAAAAAAAAAAAAAAAAAAAAAAAAAAAAAAAAAAAAAAAAAAAAAAAAAAAAAAAAAAAAAAAAAAAA